GGCCCATGGGGAGGCTGCTGCCCCTGGCTAGAGCTGTGTGATGGAAACGTGGATCTGGGACAGTTCTGGAGGTAAAGAGGAGATCGCAGGCGGGCGCCCAGGCTGCATCCATGCAGCGCCTGGCTGGGTCTGGAGCAGGGCTGTGGTGCACAGATGGAAGAGTAATTAAGAGTAATAAAAGGAAAGAGACTTGGATTCGCTACAGTCTCAGCACATTAATTGTGCTTTGGGGCCCAAATCATAACGGAGTCCTGCTAGAGGGAATCCAGACAAGAAACCAAACATCTTGCTCTGTCCAAAGCTGACCATTTAAGAGACCCTTGCCTTCATCTCCTGCCAGGTATTACTTCCAGACCCTCTTATCTGCCAAAACTCAAGTTGCCGTTTGAAATATTTTAGAAAAGGAAGAAAAGGTGCGGTGACAGTCTGAGTGCTAGTGGTGGGGAGACAGAGTGCGATGCACCAAGGACAGCACGTGGCTCTGCTTGCTGCTGGGGGAGGAAATATGGGGTCGTTGGGGCTCTCCTCCCCACAGAGGCATCATCCCATCTGGCTGGGCTGTGTCACCATGCTGGGATGTGGAGTTTTGCTGGTCTTATGCCTGAGGACCAGGTTGAATCGTGCCAGCAAGTGGATGTCCTGCCGGTGCTTCCATGCAGGCTGAGCATCTCTTCTAAATTGACAAGCAATTACATGGTTAATGGTATCAGTGTTAAATCCTCATCACTCAGCAGCCCGAGTCTTAATGCTTCATTAAGGCAAAGGCATCTAATAGCTCTCGGGACTGGGAGCAGCCTTTTCTTTAAGCCCAAGTAGAAGTCATCTGTCCAGAGGCTGCTTTTGCTCCCCTGGTCCTACAGCCTGACTGTAAGCCCAAAATGGAAGGGGGGCATGAAAATGCTCCCATACACTCCATGTTGCTGGGGCTGGCTGGACCAAGCCTTCATGATGTGATGGAGCTTCACATTGCAAATGTGCTGTATGGAGATCACAGCTGTCGTTTGAGACCTGCCATTTCCTATTCCCCTGAGTGTCCCCAGCTCCCTGCCTGTCTTCATTCATCATTTCATAGCTCTGCCTTGTGCTACTGCCCTGCAGCCACCTCTCCCCAGGCTTGGGGCCGCCTCTTGCCTCTCTCTGCAGCCGCTGTGTCCCTGTGGATTTACCTGTTTCTCCCTTATGTTACCATGCATTTACCGGTGCTGAATTTCATCAGCCACTGAGGATTGGTGATGCCTCTGCCCTCCTGTGAGCACAGCAGTGACTATCACAGACACTTTGGGCTTCATCTCGTTGGGCTTCATCTCGCTACTCACCAGGTGCCTCCTAGATCACACATCTCTGCTGGAGTGGTGCTGGCCTGATCCTGTGGCCTTTTGCTGGTAAATCTGCTGCTGTGAAAGTGGGAAACGGAGGATCAGCTCTCCAAATCTGAGCCTTGCAGTGAAGCACAACAGAGGAGCCTGCAGTGTCCATGGATCAGCAGGGACTCCAAGCTGCAGCCCTCCACTCCTCACCTCTGGACCCCTGGCTCAGCAACACATCAGTCAGTCCTGAGTGTTTGTATAAAACCTGCCAGAAGCTTCTCTCTTTTGGCCATTTGGATGGGATTATGACTTTTGGAAGCCCAACCAGCTGTGTGGAGCATCTTGCTTTGCTTTGGCCCATTTTGGATCTGTACAGAGCATGGTGAAGTGTGTCCTTGTTTCAAGAGGCTGCACCGGAGACTATCGCCATGGATTTTGCAAGTGTTTTGACTTTTTACCTGCCCCTTTTTGTGTTACTTCAAGTATCTGCTTCATTTTTTTTTTCATGTGGTTCCCTTTCAAAGCTTTGTCCCGTCATTATTATTATAATCAGAACAAGAGGAGGCTTCTTGAACAACGTCCTGCATGTGGTGCAGGAGGAGGGATGCTCAGGTGTATACCCTTGCCTGTCTCTGTGACTCCATCTGCCATTCCTCTGTCCTGTTTGGATCTTGAATGTTTTTGCTGTATCCGAATGAAACATCTCCTTTGTTATTTTGGAGGAACTGCTGTCTTCTGTTACTGCGTGCTCTACCTTTGCAGGATCTTCTACTTCCCCACACTGGAGCCATACTTCGTAGATCATTTTGATATAATTAGGTTATTACCTTATAAATAAGACCATATGAGGTCTCACAGAGGTTGGTTTTACAGACTGCTCTGGTTTCCTCTGCCCTGCTGTGTTACAGTATGAATGGGTGAAGTCTACTCAAGATGGAACAACGCATGGCATGGGGCTGGGGAGCTGTTGATGGAGCTGCTTCAGGGCCATGAACTGGGACATACTGGCTTATTTCATCCCTAAACCAGTGCCTCTGGCCTAGGAGAACTGGACTGCTGTGCCTTGTGCTGGAGTTAGCTCCGTGAGATGTTTATATGGGGATCTGAGCCTGTTCAGGTTAAGAAGAGCTGTAGGGGGGCGTTGCTCTGCATTCCCAGGCATTTGCGTCGGGATTTGTGCTGACAGTGCTCCTGTCAAACCGCCCGGCAGTGAATCCCAGATGCGTGGATGTACGGCTCCATCCAGGGAGCTGCTGGCAGGGGGGAAACACGCCCCCGCGGGGGGGGGACT